GCCGAGTCGATATAGCCATGTCCGTCTGTCTGTATGAGCGCAAGGATCTCAGGAAGTAAAAGAGCTAGAATAACCAAACTTTGTATCGAGGTTCCCCTAAGTCCTAGGCAGGTCAAGTTTATTTTTTATAGCCTGTACCCAAAAGGGGAAAGGCTATACTAGTTTTGTGCGCATGTATGTAACACACAGAAGGAGGCGTGGCAGACCCCACAAAGTATATATATTCTTGACTTATATATATTCCTAACTTTCATTATGAAGAGGCTCATAAAGGCCCTTATGTGGTTAATGTTGACAAGACTTGTGAAGTCGGGTTGAGAAAAGCCATAAATCAATTTGAACTCACGGAACTGCTATGTTCCAAGAAGATTGAAGGTATCGACGAGGTAATAAAAATAGGGTATGGCAGGTGCAAAATTATTTGCCATTCGGCTGAAAGTGCGAATGAGCTGGCGTCATTGCAAGTGCTTGCAGACCGTGGTTTTGTGCCTAAAATATTTAGGCATTTCATAGCCAAGGCGGGAATTTTGTTTAATATCCCTACGCATATGTCCAACGAGCTACTGATGGAGCTCTTGTCAGCCGATATTCCAATATCGCAGGTGGAAAGAATTTTCAAAAGAGACTCGAATTCAAAGGATCTTGTCCCCACTATGAGAGTCAAAGTTTGGTTTAAGGGACACCAGCTTCCCAAAGAAATTAAATTTCTTTACACAAAGGTGGAGGTGCACCCTTATATTGAGTTTTGGCAATGCTTCCGTTGCCAGCGCTTCGGCCATATGGCCAAGCATTGCAAGGGAGCCGCGCGGTGCTTCAAATGCGGCATGGAGCACGAGAAGGGAGTCATTTGTTTAGCCATTGCATGCGCAAATTGTAAAGGGGAGCACATGGCTACAGCTCCACAGTGCCCAGCAAGGCAAAAGGCAATACAAAAATGTATAGCGGTAGAAAATCTCTCCAAGCAGGAGATTGGGAAAAAATTTCCATCCCTATTCGAGAGAAGGGTTCCAGACTTGGCAAATTTGAGGGAGTTACCACATTTAAAGAAGCAAGCCGGCAAGTCGGGCCCCCGCGTGCACAATAATTCAGATGTGGCAAGAGAGGTGCATGCCATATCGCCTTTCGCCGAAGTGGCCAAGAATGGAAGGGGAACGCCGCAAAACAGTCCAAACAGAATAAAAATCCGGTTAGAAATGTCAATCGAAATTCGGTTATAGACTCATTGGTCTCAAACGAATCCTTGCTGCAGGAAAAGTTTGATTGGCTTGGGAAAAAGATTCTGGGCTCCCTAATGGATCAGAATAACAATAATGAAGCTGGCCCGCCAAGAATATTCTGGGAAAAATAAGGGACTTCATAAACGCTACGAACGCAGAGCTAGACGCCGATTTAATCAGAAACGCGTCGGCTCTGGCAAATAATAATTAATATGAAGATCCTACAGTATAACATTCAAAGTTTGACTTACAACAACAACAAACAGCTTTTAAATATGTTCCTTATAAATAATAACATCGACGTAGCAATTCTTGCAGAAATCTGGGTGAGAGATAATTCTGAATGCAGCATTCAGGATTTCAATTTCTACGGAAAACCAAGGGAGGATGGATATGGTGGAGTCGGAATCTATATCAGGAAAAACATAAAATTCAAAATTCTTAAAATACAAAACTGCCTGGAGGGTATAGGAATACAAACACTCAACCTACAAAAGAACATAAACCTATTTGGCAGATATGCAGCTCCTTCGACACCAATCTGCAACATAAAATATGGAGTTTAGGACATTTTCGCGTTCGCGGCCTCTCTGAACAAGGCATCCCTAATTAGCGGAGACTTCAATGCTAAATCTACCACATGGGGTAGTCCTACTAGTGACAGTAAGGGACATAGCATTGAACGGGCCGCCAACTTTTTCTCGTGGTCCAGGTAACGGGTCAGTCTTGGATCTGACCTTCTGCAACTTCAGAAGCCAGGAAGTAAGATGGCAGGCTTTAAGCTGCAAAATATCCAATAGTAATCACCTGCCGGTCATGATCCAACTAAATACGTGCCAAAGAAGTGGTGGGATGAAGATGCAAACAGGCTGTTCCGCCTTAGAAATGCGAGCAGAAAGAAATTTTACTTTTCCAAAAAGCTATTAGATGCGGAAAAATTAATGGAGGCGGAAACAAAACTGCACATTAAGAACTGCCGTAGACTAAATTTTACCAATTTCTTGGGGGATATTACGTCAACGCAGTCATTGTGGAGTGGTGCCAAGCATCTAAAGTTTTACAAACAAATAAAAAAGACAGCTAATACATGGGCCAAAGAGGAAGACGAGGAGTTTTTACAATTAGTAAAAGACACACCAGGTACATCAAGCAATCCACCACAGAGACTGGCTCAAACAACTCAAAATATCACGCCAAACAGTTCCTTAGATTTTGAGGACTTCATTTCGTTTTTGAATACAAGAAGCCCAGCATCGGCATGCGGTCTGGACGGCATATCATACCGGATGCTGCAGAATTTACATAACGCCAAGAAAGTCCATATATTTAAGATACTGAACGGCATATGGCTCAAAAGGATCATACCGGAATGCTGGAGATATATTCGTCTGGTTCCGGTTCCAAAAAGGAACGCTGATACCGCCCTTATTCAAAATCACAGCCCGATCTGCCTTCTGAGTTCACTTCTTAAATCAATTGAAGGACTAGTTAAAATTAAATTTGAGTTTCACATTGCCAGCCGAAGCTTACTGCCGGACAGATCGTACGCTTTTAGGAAAAACAGATCAACCACCCTATGCATCAACGACCTTGTAAACAAGATTCAATGCCTAAAAACCGAAGAATTCAAGGTGGCAGCAGCATGTCTGGACCTGCAAAAGGCGTTTGATTGCGTAGATATCGATATCTTGGAATACAAGCTGAATTGCATGGAGTTCGATATTCACCAAGTTCATTGGATAATTGGTTTTCTTCGAAGCAGATTCATTATAAAGGGCTCTAGCAAGGTGGAAATAAATAGAGGAGTCTGCCAAGGCAGTTGCCTGAGCCCAACTTTATTCAACACGGCAGGGCTTCATAAGGTCAACAACCAAAACTGTCAACTTTTACAATACGCTGATGACTTCTTCCTGAAGTGCTTTCACAAGAAGCTCGATGATGCTGTAGAAATACTGAGCAACAGGATAGAAGAATTCGGAAGTGAATGCAGCGAAACTAATCTGACGTTTAACCCATCCAAGTCAAAGGCCATCCATTTTAGCTCGTACAAAAAGCAATTAAATATTCTATATCAAGGCACTTTCATAAATGAAGTGGAGCAAATCAAGTACCTTGGCCGAATCATCTCGGCTAACAATGCGGCGTGCAGTCATGTCAATCAAGCCATCTCAGAGGGCGGCTGCCAATTTGGGGTCAGCCCTAAACAGGGGGTTCTGCTACACAAGGCTTTTGTTAGGAGCAGACTAGAATATGCATGCTCGTCTTTCAGCAATCTGACTAAGGCAGCTGTAGAAAAAGTCACAAGAAGTACAAGTTTGTACCTTAGGAAAGCTCTGGGGCTTTTAAAATGTACGCCGGTCCCGGTAATATACCACATGGCGGCGGAGCTTCCTCCCAAATGCAGATACAAATTCCTCACAGCCAAGGAATTAGCGAAAGTCTTTGCTTTTAATCTGCCAGTATATAGCTCACAATATAAAGAATAAAATTAATAATTCCAGGATAATGGCGGTAAAAGTGCACTACATACCAGGTCACGTAGGGCTAGAACAAAACAGCATAGTGGATTCGGCAGCAAAGAAAGCACCATCAGAAGGTACGTTCTTGACGGTGAAATGGAGCCTGAAGGATGCAGTGTTTACTATATACAGGAGGATTCATCAGGACTGGGAGAGGGAGTACTCCAGCTTTGCTGCAGAAAAGGACAGAAAATACTGCGCACTTTTCCCGGCAACCGTGAACAAACCTTGGTTTCAGAACGAAAATTGCAAATTAAATCCAAATAATATCAAATTAATGAACAGACTTCTATGTGAAAACTCCTTCGACAAAGTCACTCTCTGACAGCGCAACACATGTTATTTTAGAATGCACAAAGTATAACACAGCACGTCAACGTTACACATCACTAGCAAAATACAACAATGTGCACACTTTTTTCAAGCAAGCGGCCACAGCTGAGTACAATTCACTGGTCAACTTTATAAAAGAAATCAATGTAAAACTTTAAAGACAAGCAAACACTACGAAATAACCCGCGTGGCAATTTCCACTTTACCAATAAGTGGGCGCCCAAATAATTCCACATCACCCAAGGGTATCGTGGTAACTTAAAACAAAAAAAAAAAAAAAAAAAAAGGAAAAATAAATAATAATAAATAATAATAAATAAAATAATAATAATAAATAAATATATAGAGAAGAATGCTAAAAAATGGAGTTTTAGGCAGTCAGTCGCGACGTCATACCGTCGCTTAGAGTTTAAGTTTGATTGTTCTACCCAGTGCCACTGAAGGGGCCTCATTCTATTTCTGGCGCCCAAACGTTTAATTTGAAAGCGACTCTGGCCGGCGAGTATACACGGGCCAGAGCAACGGTTCAAGTGGCGCCCGTGCACGGATCCCTAAAATAAAGTCAGGTTAAATTGAACCGCGACCACGTGGTGAGTTAACACTGTTGAAGCAACGTATGGCAGTGCTAAATGGTGGCGTCCGCGGGCAAACGTCTGTGTGCAGAGGTGAGACAGTGGGGAATCTATGGGAGCGGGAACCTAGGTCGTTACTTCGGGATCTGGAAAAGATGGCAAAAATGAGTGAGGGGGATAACCTAATACCAATGCTACCCATGATCCTCAAAATTTTTTTATTTTAATTGTTTCTTTTTTATGGGAGGTACAGGGTAATTTAGAGTACAGCTCGCTCGACTTTAGCATTCCTTTCTTGTATTTAATTACTTTTATATCGAGTACCCATATTCATACTGTTTTATGTTCTGTAATTGCAGAGTAAATAATGTTGATCTCATGAACCAAGACGATTGGATTACGAGTGGGAAATTCGGATCACGGGACGCCGTTTTGGTTTTTCGTACTAATATTCTAAATCCAAAAATTAGGAAAACTTTGTCGGAAAAGACTTCGGATAAAATTATATTACAAAATAAAAGTGTCGAAGGTAGTGCTGAATCGGCTAGCGATGTACATTCTGAAAAAAACTTCCTATCGGTATCAACTACCAGTCAAATTGTGTTCAATAATACCTCACAACAAAAATTATATATGTCAATCAGAAATCAACTTTCATCAAATTCAATAGTGAAGCTAGGAAGTCAAGTGTCGTGTACTCAAATACATTCATTGTTATCTACAAACGACAATTCAATATATAGTGAATGTGATGCACCCATAATGAATTATGATAAGAAGCTTTCAATAATAACCAACAAAAAATGTTCCGTTCCTTCCAACTTTGACTGTTTAACCCAAAAAAATTGTTCTGATCCTATAGAAAAAACAAATGTCTCTACTAACGAATGTGAAGATAAGGATGCATCTAGTGAGGAAGATGATGAATATAGCATACATATGCCAGCGAACAAACTAAGAATTTCATACAAATTTATTCAATCTGAAACAAAATTATTACGAAAAATATTTAATGTGCATGGCTTAACAGAAGTTCAAGGCGAAAACAATTTTAACTTATTGTGGACTGGTGTTCATTTGAAATTGGACGTTTTAAGAAGTCTAGCACCTTATCAACGCGTAAATCATTTTCCAAGGCAAGTATTTTTATTTTTATATATCATCAAAAATAACGACAATTGCTTACAACTATGTATTATCTTATCTTACCCAAACGGTAAAAGGGTATACTTTTTTAGTGCGAATGCATATAACACACAGACGGAGGTGTGGCAGACCCCCCAAAGAACATATACAAGGTGTTTTCCAAAGTAAAAAAAAAAAAACAGAACAAATGGTTTTTTCGGCAAAATCAGTTTATTTTATGCAAAATAGTCTCCTTCTGCTTCAATACAGCTTTTTGCACGATCCAAAAGCATGTCGAATGAGTGTTTTAGCTCGTTGGCTGGTATGGCCGCCAGTATGCCTTTCATGGGCAAATGAATTTTTCCGAAAAGGTAGAAGTCACACGGTGCCATATCAAGTGAATATGGCGAGTGGTTAATGGTTAAAATGTGATTTTTGGACAAATAATCGGTCACAAGCGTCGATCGATGAGAACAATTTTTGGTCGTCAGTCAATTTGTGCGGAACAAACTGTGCACACACCTTTCGTAAGCCCAAATGTTCGGTCAAAATGCGATAAATCGATGTTTTGGAGATGTTCAATTCTATTTCCATCAATTTCAATGATGATTTCGGCTGATTTTTGATGAATTCACTCAGTTTCGATGGAATTTTCGGTGATCACGAATTTTCATTGGCCCACTTTGAAAACGTTGAAACCACTCGTGCACTCTGCAACGGGATAGGCAATCATCGACATAAACTTGTTCCACCAATTCAAACGTTTCGGTAAAAGTTTTACCAATTTTAAAACAAAATTTAATGTTGGTTCTTTGTTCGAAGCTCATTTTTGCACCGATAACACAAACATACTGACACTTAAACCGCAATACCTTCACTTCCAATCGATGAAATGTCATGAAATTCTCACTGGACAATCGATAAAGATAGCAGATTCTATCGCACCAGTCGACATATAGATAGGGCCACCAGGGGGCGCTAGATTCAAAAGGTCCTGTTTACTTTGGAACACACCTTGTAAATCGTTTATAGTCGGCATACTTGCCATCAAGTGTTGGAAGCTTAATCTTTGGAAGCCTATTATGATGGACCGCAGTTATGCTTGATGTAGAATTTAAAAACGTAGACTCAGAAACAGTTACTCGCTTTTTCTCGTTTATTAACGTGACAATTGCAGCCTTTGTTCCGATGAAAAGTTCTTCAATGCTAGAACTGCCTGTATCCTTGTTATGGATGTCCTCGATTTGTGTTTGTATCTTCATTATCTGACGAAAAAAGGACTCCAGTATTTGTAGGTTGCACTCAAGAACTGGTATTTCAGAAACAGCTCCAGTTACTATTCTGGCCTTTAAACTTTCGATGTTTCTTTCCATTGTAGTTCTCTGCACCCGAAGTTTGATTAAACGTGAATCGTTAACGTCGACGGCCGCCGCTTTCGTCATTAAGGCGGCGTCGGATTGACTCATTTTCATTAATTATCCAAATTAATTATACGCAAAAGGTCACCGCTAATGCCACTTGAAGCTAAATCTCTTATGGAAAATCATTTGTAACAAATTTAACTAAGTTTAACAGTGGCACACACTGTGCGATGCGCGAATTTGGGAATTTGGTTAAAACGAACTAAAAGTAATGCACAACAACAAGAATCATAGCCTAGCGGATCTTTCTAGCGAGTAATAATTTTTGTATGTATTTACCGCTTGATTTTGTGCTCTTCTTAGAGCGCGCTTCTTACAATTTGCGTTGGCGGGAACGGTGTGCAAAGTGGCGGGAACGATATGTAGATTGATCAGAGGGGATGTGCGAGCGGCGGGGGTAGACTTGCAAACGGTGTAATGCTGTCGTCTCAGTTGCTGATCTGTCCAACGGCGTGGCCTTGGTACAGCGGCTATGTTGACCACAGTGCCTTGTGCACTAGTCACAGTTGATTTATATGTAGTTACAGATAATTTTCTGTCCAGCAGCTCGTTGCCCTGAACCAGACGATTACTATGGCGTTCCAATAGTGTTTGGTAATCTGTACTGCAACTATACGATTTCATGAAATCGGCGAATTTTAATATAAAAAATGGAACGAGACTTATCTGTGTCCTGTCATGGTCGCCAAAATGTTCCAGACGTGCTCCCGAGGGGGCTTCGATCCACTTGTGTTTTGTTGAGCTGATTTGTCGTGCTGACCTTTCCGAATTAATTTAAGGTTCGCCAAGGTTGTTTGTGTGTATATGTATATGCAAAGTAATAGTAAGGTAACCAAACGCAGCATTGTCAGACATTTCGAAAATATTTGATCCTTTAGATTTAATAAGTCCAGTGACAGTGGCAACGAAGATTCTTATGCAAGATTATGGAAATCTAAGTTAGACTAGGACCAAGAGCCTTCAGAAGAGAATGTAAAGGCATGGGAAAAAAAAGAACTCCCAATACTAAATTAAATGAAGATACCCAGAATGTTAATTGGAAACAACGCCAAAAGAATTTCGGCGATGCATCTGAGAAAGCGTATGGTGCAGATATCTATATTAAATCAATAGAGTTTAACAATCAAATTAGAATTAACATAGCCGCGTCCAAATTCAGAGTAGCGCAAGTTAAACTTTTAACAATACCAAGTCTTGAATTATGCGCCGTAGTACTTTTAGTTGAGTTAACGAAAAAGGTTACAGATAGTTTGAAAATCCAATTCAGCAAAGTTTTCTACTACAGCGATTCGCAGATTGTGCTTAGCTGGTTAAAGCTTGACCCAGCGTCATGAAAAATATTTATGGCAAATTGAGTTAACTTTATTCAAACAGAAACAAAAAGTGCAAGTTGGCAGTTGAGTCAGAGCATAATCCAGCGGACATCGTGGCTAGAGGTAAATACCCATCTGAGTTAATAGGAAACCAGCTGTAGTTTGAAATGCCGTTATTTTTAAAAAGTAATAATCACCAGTTTCGACATAGTTCAGTAATACTAAATGAAATCCCTGAAAAAAAGACATATAATGCGTTACTTGTTAAAACAGGATCCATATTTAAGGATATCAATCACAAAACCAACTTTAATTTTTTACAAAATGTGCTGGCAATGCACTATGGTTTTTTTGCCCGTTTTCGAAATATTAAGATATTTACCCCAAATTTAGTTTGTACGCATATTTTGGTACCTCAAGACGACATACCAAGTTTGGTTCAGTTTGGGGCACTATTTCATATAGCTGCCATATAACCGATATGGCCGACTTTCACTAACTTCAGTATTTTTAACTGAACCAGAAACTGGCCTATATTTTGCTCACATGCAATATATTTTAGTTCACAAAATATAAATAATTTAATATGAGTTTATTTTACAGCTACAGAGTTTCGTTAATACTGTCCACATTTCAAAAGCTACATAAACAAAACTTTGCACACGTAATTTATATAGAATCTATCTATCTTTAATTTAAATTTCAATCAAATCGGTACATTTTTAGAAAAGTTATTAGCGAAAACATTTCACTTTAGTACTACGCCCACAAGCACAGCATCAAGCTACCTCATCTTCTTCTTTTTGCTTCCGCTATGGGCGTATATAACTCAGTGCTTGAAGTTTGTCTGGGCACAGAGTATTTCAATGTCGGGATTGCTCGACTATAGCGTTTTCTTTCACGGCTCAAAACCGCCATCAACATCAACAATCATGTTAAAAGCAAAACAATTTGTGTTTTTTTTTTAATGGCTTTAAAGTTTGATTACAACTTGGCATGTGTTTTTTAATATAATTGGAGAAGGATTTTACTTTTACCGATATTAACATAATATTGTATTCATCTAAGATGCTTACGTTAATTTTCTGTAATATATTCTGCTTAAATGCGTATTCTGAGTCTTTGTTGCTGCTACAAATGTCAACAATGTTTGCATGCCCAAACAGTAGCTTTGCTGCAACAAACGCCATTTTACAGAAAACGTGCTAATTGGGACGAAGTTCTTTAGTAATTCCATAATAAACATATATTAGTTAGTATTTCCACATTTATAACTTTTTGCAACTCTTTACCATTCAAAAGTACTATTCCACGAAACACAGCGCAACTTATAAAGGCTAATTTAAAAAAAAACACATGAACAACACATGGCACAATTACACGAACACATTTCATCGCTTAAAAACAGTTTTGGACTATAATTTTACATACCTTGATTAACGTTTTCCATTATATAACTTAACTTTTGTGGGTTATTTTCTTAATTCTGCAAGCTCTGAAAGTTTACCAAAAATTGCTGCCAAAATCACAAATACGTGTGTTTCACACAATCAGGTAACTTTGACTGCGCGCCAAGAAAATGGTGTTGCCATATCAGCAGGAATTAATTTAATTTTCGCTTTCTGCCAAAAAAACGGGGATAAAAACCATAGTGCAATGGTAATAATGTTTACAGACAAGTGCAGAAAAAAAGAATTATAAACATGGGTAAGCCATAACAAGTAGAGAAGCTAAAGTCAGGTATCCCGACTTTGAAATACTCTGTACATATGTGTAGAACTAGCAGATCTTGCCCGTCTTTGCTGGTCTAAGTAAAATGTGTTTTTAATTATAAGTTTATTTACTACATGATATTCTTCTTTCGACGCTCTCTAAAGTTTTTTAAAGAGTTCATTTTCCAAATAGCAAATATAGTACAATAAGTACTATGTATGGTTATACGTACATACATATGTACATATGTATCTTCGTTACGCACCGGGCCAGTCCTGACTTAACTGTGTGCTTCCTCAGCACGTTGTACGCACGGACGAGTTATCCCCAAAAAGTCCGACGCGGGACATTTAATTTTGATTTATAAATCGGGACGTCCCGCCAAAATTGGAGCGTTCGGCAACGCTGATATGTACATACATTTAAATTTTTCATGCAGGCGTTATCCGCCTATATGCATACATATATGTATAACACTAATTTGTGTCTTCAATTCCAAATATGATTGTTGTGAATGTAAAAGGTGTGTTTCTGCTTTTGTAAATCGCATGAATACACTCACAA